TGACAACAAGCACTGATACACATATATTCAAAGCATCTCACATCAGTGCTTAACTAGCAATGTGTGTATTCCCCAACAAAACTCTTTTGATGTTATACAGATTTGACATTTTAAACATAGGAGGGTTAAATTTTTTTAAATTATTATTTTTGCTTGTGGTTGGGCATGATTCATTTATTTGATTTATTTTTATGTGATGCTGAATCAAACCCAGGTTTCACACATGTGAGGCAAACACTCATCACTGAGCCACAACTACAGCCTGGGAGGGTTAATTAAATATTTAATGTTAAATATGATATTTGATGTGATGGAGATTTCAAATGTGTCACATCAAGTAGGAATAAAATACTCTTGGAATTGTTTAATTTGATTCACCAGAATCTTCTAAAAATTAATATATTTCAGGAAAGTATTTACTTCATCAAAATTTGAGTTTCAAGGAAGAGAAATTTAGAACAAAAATATGTCCACAATTAATGTGTACAAAGGAAAACACTGCATTTGGGTAGAGTATGCAAACATCTTCATTGAACAAAGTCTTGGAATTCCATGGAAGGAAGGCACTATTTAATGACTATTTTCAGAGATTGGAGTCAGAAAAACTGGTGTATGGCTGCATAATGAATAAGTCAGGCTGTGTGGAAATGCTGGAAAGCCATGACAAGAATCAGTAACCAGATGAAACACAGAATCCATGGCTTTTAAAAAAAAATGCATTCATTGAAGGAATAGACTGCAGCATTGTCAGGAAAAAGTAGCAGAGTGCAAGTAATGAATCTCTCCTCTCGAAGACTGAGGAGAATCTCATTAACACAAGTAAAAAATGGGAAAAAGCAAGAGATACATAGTTCTTAAATCAGGAATTACAAAATGCCCACTAGAATTCAAGGAAATACCATTCAAAACTGCATTGGCATTTCAGATGCCCCCAGTCAGAATGACATTTTTAAAGTATTCAAATAATAAGTGCAGTTCAGGATGTGGCAGTAAAGTTCAATCCTAGACTGCCAGACTGAAAATTTAAGACCTCCACACTGGAAAGCATTATGGAGATTCCTTTAGATTCTAGGAATATGATTCATCTTTCTCACTCCTTCCAATTTACCCCAATGTATGAGTCAGAATGCACATGTGATATATGAACCTCAATATTTTACACTATAAGTCACATTTATAGAATTATGGAACTAACTGATACCCATCAACAAAAGAATATTCAGCACTGATTTTCAGCAAATTAGTTATTCTTGATAAACCATTATGGCAAAATGATTTCACACATAATGTATTAAAATACTGCCTTAAATGTCTTTCAAACATATAAAAGAGCAGCAAAATCTTCTTAATTGTGTAAAAATTATTTTAGAGAGAAAATAAGAAACTAATAGAGATTCTTCTCAACACAAATATGACATTTTCAGCAGAGGAGAGAATTGGATTTTTGCGTGGATATCAAGCAAATTTCAAGATACTGCACAAAATCCTGGACAGAGTTAGACTGTGAGTGCAAGATCCTTTTATCTCTGGTTACCTCACAGAGGCCTTTTTCCTGGGATAATGGAAACAACATACATTCCTATTTCAACTTCTAAAATCAGATCAAACCATGTACAAAACAATGGTTGGGAGGCACCCAAAGGAAGAATTAAAATGGGTTCTAATCTGAGACCAGAATTCAAGACCAGATCCGCTGAGAGCCTTCGGTAGCTTGAGGTTGGACCCGTGGTCTACCAAAGATTAAAAAGTCATGGTACTTTCATTGAAATATGTTGTTTGAAGGTCTCTGGTAGCAAGTGCCAGGGCAATGGCTGGTAGGAAACTGGATGCATGCAGAAAACACACATGATTATCCACACCAGGGATGGTAAACAAACTCAGCTGAGAGGCATTTAGAAATTCGTTGGCTTTTCCAACACACTGGTGTTTGTAGACACCCTTCTGGTGATTACAATCAAATTCTCAGGGTAAACACCTTGGAGAAGAGTTTCATTGTGTAGTAACTCTGTTTGCTGGATCAGAAACCACTGCAGGTATTACAACTCCTGAATGCATAGTCAACACTCCTTACAGAATGGTGGAAGTTTACCCTGATCCAATGATGTCAGGATAGTGAAAATCAGGAATGGGATGGAAACTCTCATCATAAATACATGTGTTTTGCCTGCTGGACAGTTATTTGAGTAGAGGTTCACAGAACACTGCCTCTTGAAATAGTTTTTTAGAATAATGACACTAAAGGAGAGTGCTTTTTGAGAATTCAAGTGACAGAAGAATCTAGCAGTGCTGGGCATTGGCAGGTACAATGCATTTTCCTACAGTTCCCAGAAGAAATTGCAGATTCTCCAAGCAGGTCATGACTGCTGTGCTCCAATAGCTTGTAAGAAAACCCCTCAGAGATATGGACTCTTGCCTACCTCTACATCACTGATTATAGGAGTTTATCTTTAGAGTCTGAATTGCTCACTAGTGTGTTTGTCAGTAAGTATCCATGTTAGATGGGCCCACATCCCTGTATACATGAACAAGTACTAAGGCTGAGGATTTTCTCCAAATTGTGAAGTTCTCTCATTTCTCTGGGTGAGGTGGGGGCCATCGAGCATCTGAGCTCAGCTTATTCATGGCAATAGCAGGTTAGGACATTTGCAGCTAGAGCAAAAAAATAAAGAAGGTTTCTAAAATTAGAAGTCCTGCACAGAAATATCTCCTAACATTAGTATAAGGGAAATCTCAAGCTTTTTTATATTGGTGTTCTTGATGTGTTTTTGTCTGTTATTGAAATGGGGTTTTCACATTATTTCATTTTTCACCATCAATCTTATTTTTTTTGTTGTTGAGAATTTCATTGCATTACTCTGTGTGTGTGGGGGGGGGAGGTTGTGTGTTCACTATGAAGTGACCAGTTTACCTCTCATTTTAAATTTTTCCTTTCTAATTTGAGTTCATTACCCCTCATCTCCTCTTTGGCCTTCTTTACTCCCGCCTCTTTCCTTCTATTTTAAAACAAGGCCTAATAATTATATTAAAACCAAGGCCTCTTTTGATTTTCCAGGTAAACATTAATATTTCCTATTTCATCTCTTCATTTTGTAGTGTTACTTTCTATTACAGGTGATAAGTGTTTTGCTATAAACTGTGATTATTTGTGTACTTCATTCTGTGACCTCAGAGAAATACTGGTGAGTAAAACAGGCATGTGCAACATGGTGGTTTTCACTCCTGATACTCAGATATAAACCATACCCAGGACACAACCAAAGACAAATCTACACACTACAAGGATCCTTGTGTAATAGTGGAAGAGAACCCATGCAAATGCATGCAAATCCTTTACATACTAACACAGATCATATGAGATCAGGAGGCATATTCTTATATGATCTATGTTAGATCATATGAGATCTAAATTTCATAATTTAGACATTCAAAATTTCATAATTTCCCAAAAATGATATCCAAAATCTTTAGTCTAACCTCACATAAAGAGGTAAGGTAAATATGTTTTATAATTTTATTGGTTTCTTACAGACAATGGATAGGAAATATATATTTTTTGTACATTAGCAGAAAAGTACCCATCTTGAAGTGTTTCGATACAACCTGAAATTTTGTGCCTGATTTGAGCCTGTTCCCTCCCTCCATGGATATGCTGAAATCCATGGAGAATGACATCTTTTTTCAGATGACAGGTAATGTGAAATTAAATGTTGAACCCTTGGGAATGAAGTTGTTTTTAAATGAATGGGTTCAGTGGTCATTGCATTTATGTATGTTCATGATTTCAACTGCTTATTTCTAAGTCTCTGACATATTGCTCTCCACTTAAGGATGTCACACAGATGAAAACACAAACATTCTTCAAAAATATAGGCACAATGATAACATAAAGCATATGTGTAACCCACATTGATCACTAAAGCTAATTTTTATTATTATATGTTAATTAATATAACATTTCATGTCTTAACATATTTATACTTAAATATTAAATTGTGATGTTTGAATTCCCAAAGAATGTTCTATGAGTTCAATTCACTTGGCCTAATTGACTTTCTATAAAGAAGGAAAATAAAAGTAATTGGGAATTTGACATGTGCATACCTGTAGCTGGTGGTACTCAGTGTCTTCAAGACTCTGTTGCTCTTCGTGTGAAGACTTGCCCATATGGGACTCTGTTGACAAATGTACAGATTTACTTAAACTACTTAAAAAATAATTTGAATGTCAATTAATCCAAGTAAAAATGAACAGTAGTAATAATCCTGTAATTTTACTTTCCTCAAGTACCATTTCAATCAAGCTAAATTTAAGGTGAATATATCTTATTTTTGGAATGTTTATTGCTGTTTGCATATGGGCCTGGGTATTTTTATCCAGGGACATGTATGTCTTTGGCAGAACTATGGTGTTCATATCAAATTCCCTGTCTTAATATTTAGAGACAGGACGTCTATAAATACTAAAGTTGGCTTGAAACCTGACAGGGATTTATCCTCAGCCTTTCAAGTACCTGCAATTACACATGTGTCCCTCTGAAGCCAGTAAATATTGACATCAATTAGTAGTAATTTTAGTGATCAATGCATCAGAATACCTACAATTGGGGTGTCACCATATACAAATGCTAAAATAATTTTCAGATTTATCTATTTTAGGTTAAAGTGAATTTCACAGAGAAAGATTTATATTTCTATGGAAACAGGAGGCATCAGAGTTTTTACTGTCTCTTCTTTCATATATCATAGAAAAAAATTCATTGTTCATCATTTGTCATGTCCCCCCAAACTGATTACATTTACACATTGATCAACAAATTCCATGTTGTTTTTAAATTTACTTTCTATTTTGTTGTTGTTGTTGCTACTGTTCATTCTTTCCATTAGGAATCACTCTGACTTGAGAAATATCCATGATTATGCCTGTTGTTCATGACATAAACTGTCCCCCCCCCCAATGGGGCTACTTTATTTCTGAAATGTGTAATAAACATATGACCTGTAGAGTCTTGTTTTTCCTGTCTAGTCTATCAGTTTTTGGACTTGAGGGGACTACTTTTACATCAAGTTGTAGTTAACAGTTTTTTTTTTTTGTTTATTCCACCCACAACTGTGTTTGTGGTAAGATCTTGAGGAGAAAACAAGTATAGAGGATGATTTTTTTTTCTAGAGATGGAGATGAGCGGAGACTTAAAAAGTGAGGTTATGTGCCAGAGGGTGGAAATTTCAAGCATGAAAGGCTGTACATTGAGAAACAGGGCTTTAAAGGGAACATGATTTATGGAGATAAAATGATTGGTAAGAGGAATCAGAGATATTGCAGGCAGAGAGAGGGATCAATATACACAGTGAGGAAAATTTTGGATTATGAAAGATTTCTAGGAAAGTTAAGGTGCTTGGATATCCATGATCTAAAGAAGGCTGATAATCATATGTGCAGTATATGCATAAATAACAGGACCACCCTCAGTGCTATAGCAGGTTAACATGCACGAATGGATATACATAATGAGAAGGCCACAGTGCACCAGGAAGTTGATGCCAGCACGAATGGAGGGAATGTTTCTGGAAATGCAGATGATAGAACAATTTCAGTGAACTGTGTAGAATGAAAACTAATTACAAGGAACAAAGAAAGAAGCTGGGCAATAGGAATGTGTGGTTCTGCTCCTGACTATAACTCAAGGATTCAAATAACATGTGTAGTAAATGCAGCTACTGTGAATGTTGCTTTTCTTTATCATGTAGTTTCTTCATGGCACTATCTTCCTATGTTGAGGAAACTACTTTAAGAAGAGGGTGGGTAATTCTCTGAACTTTGAAAATGCAATTATTTTATCCATTTTATTATAAGTATGCGTCCCATCAGAGAATCAGAGTTGTCTGTGGAAGAGCTTCAGTGGGAGATGAAAATAATGCTCTCTAGCCAATAATGGATTCATTTTACAAGAAAGGAGTAAAATAAATTACATATGGTCATACATTGTATCATTTCTTGCTACCGACTGACCACATCATTGGTGTATGGAAAGAACCATAAAACAAATCACAGGTACAATAGAATAAGATCATATACAAGGAGTCATAATAGAGTTGACATTATCTTGTAGATGAGTTTTTTCTGTTTCACAAACTGTTCTTGCCCTCCTGGGTTCAATCCCATACAATATTCTCATTCTCCTAGGTTTCTCAACTGTAGCAGTGCACCCACATAAGCTCTTTTTAAAATTAGGGTGAAAGAAAATCAGCCTCATAATCCAACTAACTTCTGTAATGAATCTAATGTGGGAAACATAATTTTAGAGACATCTATTATAAGGTATTTTAAGTATAATTTTCTCATGATTTTATAGAAATATTTTGAAAACAGATGTAAGCATCAACATCCACATATTGTTGCAAATCCTTCCTACACACTGTGGGAAAATAACACACATGAGGTGTGAAGAGTCGCTATTATTTCAAAGTTTCTATATATGTTTTCCAGAGAGGTTGTACCACAAAAGTTACCTGTTTTGACTTTGCATGTTACTATCTTCAATTTTGGTCTTTGACGAAGTGAATCCTTTTTCAAAGGCTTGATGTTCTTGGAGAGAAGATATTATATAAACATTTTACATTTCATCCTATCTAGCATGCACTTAATTCTTTAAAATAAACAGAAGATGAATTACCTTGAAGGAAGCACATGAATCCTGACGTCCTGAAAAGAGATTGAGATGTATGCTCAGCAAAACCTGAATATGACAAAATTACAATCGTGGTTCTACTGAATGATATGGGACCCTAGTTCTGCTAGTTAGCATTGGTGAAGACTATTTTAGCTTTATGTATCTCCTTTCATTTGGGGACTTCATGTTGAGTGAGAAATCAGCATCAGGAATATAGGATTAGGAAAATTATCAGTTGAGTTTTCCAACAGTAAAGTCATTATTGCAATGACCATTAATAGAAACACATTGGCATATATACTGATGTCAAGATGCAGAATGCTGGAGAGCACAGTGATGTTTTCAGAGGAGGAAAGATCAACCCTGAGAAGTTCAATATCGAAGCAGAATTAAAAATGTGGCAGCAAATATCTTGAGTGAATTCTATCAGAATTATTTAACCCATTTTATTATAAGTATGATTCCTGTACCTCATTTGCCTTATAATTAATATTCCCAAAGTTGTGATAAGATTTCAGGGGAGGGTACGCTTGTTTGCTCATCATAGAGTGTTCTCTGAGTCAGTTAGCTCTGACACATGTGTTTAGAGTCACAGTTAAGGGTCTTTGCTCATATTCATGTAAAAAACTGGTGTTATATTCTTTTCCCAGAAACTCTGGTTTAACCAATACCAACTTTCTTTTGGCACTCTTTTGCAAAGATAGTGGTCTCATGTCTATGCAATAAATCTATGGTAGAGCATAAAGAGTTCAGTCAAGGCAATCCAAAAGGAAAATTGTTCTGAATTCTTGCAGAATTATCACATACCAATAATCTAATATGTTTCAAAAAAGTTGGTAAATACAGTAACAATGTTGGTGTTTGAGGAGCAAACTTCATAAAGTTTTCCGGTTAAAAAAAATGAGTCTGGTGAGACTTATATAGACAGATTTTGAAGTAATTGCACAAAAGTCCCAGATGATCACAACATTTGCTTTCTAGACTTTAGAATTTATCTCAATAATATGATGTACTCCTGGAATGTCCAGAAACTTGGTTTCTCACAAAATTCAAATAAAATAATGTAATAGATACATTAAGGATGATAATAGGAATAGTATGATTGGAATTATGAGCTTCTTTATAGCAATGAATGCTTCAAAAATGCAACGATCCTCATCTGAAGGACACAAATGGATGCCTTAAGCACTGTGATGCCTCCTGGATATAGAGGCAGAAAATGGGTGGCTGTAGGGTATCCTAATTTTGCCAGTTGCCACTGGTTCTTATAATCTCTGCACCAGACTTCAACTTGAAGAAAGGAAAGCTAAGAGAGCTGACTAGAATTCTATTTACTCATTTTTTCTTCTAAATTGCATGTTTTCTCCCTCACTTTCTCTTCCCTTCAACTTTTCCAAAGAAACTCATAAAAGTGGGAGCTTGTCTTTTTTTTTCCATTTCCATCTTTCATATGGATCTTTGCCACTCTTGTTTCCTGCCAACAGATAACTGTGTTATCTTAGAAATATCATTTCTTCATCTTAGTCCTTTGTGTTCTTCCCACATCTCAAGAGACATGTTCAGAATGAAAGTGAGATTGATGCTTGCACTTAACCTGGTTGTGTCTTGAAGTATAGGAACCAGCTGTGGTTCTTGTATATTTCCTCAAAGGATATCCAATGCACAGCTCCAAATCATGTTGTCTATGACTAGGATCAATGGAGTCACCTTAGAATGCAATGGACATGTAGAGGCAAAGACCTGCTGAATCAGAACAAGAGTTTGAACATGATCTTCAAGGGATGATTCCTTAAAATTCCACAGTTCCAGTGTGAAATTTGTCTGCTTCTATTCCTCTATGGCAATTTGAATGTAGCTCTGGATTCCTCCCTAAATGTTCCATCAAAGTAAAGTTTGGAAAGATCTGTAATCTCTCCACTGTTAATTTCAGATACCTGTGATTTTGGGAAATGCTCAATTACCACTCATATTTCCTTCTACTTTTACATTTGCTTTTTCTGCCCTATAATTTTCCTTAGGGCATAGCAACAAGTTTCAAGTCATTAAATTATATACATGCCTAATCATTTAGGGTAACTGAACTTAGCTCTGTGGAAACAGGTCTTCATTCCTCAATTTATTCCTAATTGTGTATAAGTGAGGAAGGGTGGGAAAGTTTTATTCTCTCTTTCATTCAACTTTTAAACTGGAAACACACAAATGTTTTCCATATTTGAAAATCCTTTTCCTTTTTTTTGAACAGAAATATAGTTTAATGAGTTAATATAATATATTCCCTCTTTTTTATTTCCATGGAATTTTGTTTTTTCTGTTTTTAATGATTTTATTAAATGGCAGTGGAATGCATCACAATTCATATTACACATATAGAGCACAATTTTTCATATCTATGTTTGTGTACAAAGTATATTCACACCAATTCATGTCTTAATACATGTACTTTGGATATAATGATGTTCACCACATTCCACCATCATTTCTAACACCCTGCCCCTTCCCTTCTCCTCCCACCCCTCTGCCTATCAGTAGTTCTTCTATTCCTCTCAGGCTACCCCTCCCTACCCCAGTATGAATCAGCCTCCTTACATTAGAGAAAACATTCAGCATTTGTTTATTTGGGATTGGCTAACTTCACTTAGCATTGTTTTCTCCAACACCATCCATTTAACTGCAAATGCCATGATTTTATTCTCTTTTATTGCTGAGTAATATTCCATTGTGTATTTATGACACATTTTTTCCAATCACCTACTGAAGGTCATCTAGGTTGGTTCTACAGTTAAGCTATTGTGAATTGTGCTGCTATAAACATTGATGTGGCTGTATCCCAGTAGTATGCTGTTTTTAAGTGTTCGTCTATTGACCAAGGAGAGGGATAGCAGGTCAAATGGTAGTTCTATTCCCAATTTTCCATGGATTTTATATACTGATTTCCATATTGGCTGTACCAATTTGCAGTCCCACCAGTAATATATGAGTGTACCTTTATCCCCAACATCATTGTCAACACTATTGTTGTTTGTCTTTATAATAGCTGCCATTCTGACAGGAGTGAGATTAAATCTCAAGAGTAGTTTTGATTTGCATTTCTCTAATTGCTAGAGATATATTTGTTGATTAATTTTATATCCTCTTCTGAGATGTGTCTGTTTAGGTCCTTGGCCCATTTATTGATTAGGTTATTTTAGAAAACCCTCTTCTGTTCCCTTCTCATCTGAAGGTGGAATTTCCCACCCTCTCCTGACCACCACTGATTCTTTTCTATTTGTTTTTGAATGTATGTACTCACTGCCTTTGTCAGTCTTCATTCCCTCTTCTTCGGTCTTTTTCCTTATTTCAAATTTACCTGTGAGAGAAGCATGTGTCAAATGCAACTCACAATACAATTCCTTTAGCAAATACACTCAATTCAACCTGTGGCTGAAATCCAATGAGATACACCAGTTCTTACATTTGTTTGTCCCTACTAGTTATTTAATAGGCACATTTCTTGAACAAGTACTGTACACCAGTGCTCATATTTTTTGGCCATTCTCTTTCCAGTACAGTTTGTATCCTATGTTTCTTACCTTGGACATGTCCATTTATTGTCTTTGTGCTTGGATCGAACTTACTGGATATACCAGCAGCACACTCCTCTCGAATTTGCTCAGAATCACTCTGGTAAAAATAATGACAATAATAAGTTTTATATAGATTTCTGCTCCTCTCATTGAACATCATTCTATTTATAGTTATGAAGTCATTGCAATTGCAGATTAGACCATTACATTTTCTGCAATGATATTTCCACGAGACACAATTTCACATGCAGTCCAGGTGAAACTGACTCTGCTCTTTATCTGGCTACTGATGGGGAAAATCAGGAAGAAAGAAAGAGGAAATTTGTTCCCTTACAACAAACTCACTGATATGCATATATCCAAAACAACTAACATCAGTGCTTAATTAGTAAACTGAGCATTCTCCCACAAAATAAAGAGTAGAAAACTTGTTTAAAATGTTTTTTTTAAAATTAGATTTGATGTTATAGAGATACAACATTTTGAACAATGAAAGGTCAAATTTTTTGTTTGCTTACATATGATACTTGATAAGAGACTTTCAAATGGGTCATCTCTAATAGGAAGAAAATATTCTTACACTTGTTTCATTTGAGTCCCCAGAGCCTTACAAATATGCATATCATTGAGCAAAATATTCACATAGTCAAAATTTCATTTTAAAAGAACAGTGATTCAGTACAAAGATGTGTCTGTATTTTATGCACACCAATGAGCACACTCTATTTGTTTAGAGAATGAACACTTTTTATTGCAAAAAGAGCTAAAAGGAATTTCAAGGAAGTAAGACAGTAGCACAGCATCATGCTGTGTTTTCTGACTAACTACTTTCAGAGTTTGGACCCAGAGAAACTG